ATCTATGTATCTATGTATCTATGTATCTATGCATCTATGTATCTATGTATCTATGTATCTATGTATCTATGTATCTATGTATCTATGTATCTATGCATCTATGTATCTATGTATCTATGTATCTATGTATCTATGTATCTATGCACGTATCTAAGTTTCTATGTTTTGTTAGTGTTATATGTGGGTGTTGAATAACCAGTCAAAACAATATAAGACTGTCAACATATTAAGTGTTCAATTGATCAATTGTGCTGACAAAGGCGACGCTTTTATAGTTTAAGTGAAATTATTCGATTAGCTGTACTCATAAACAGACGGACTGTCAGACAGAGAAGCATACGGACACCCCCCGGTAGATAGGCAGATGTAGCTGACACCCAGACAACCGGTTGCCACCTGCTAACAGTTGCCCGTTTCGGCTGCACTTGGATTGAGATCGAGATTACGATTGCAAATTGCAAATTGCACTAACGAATTCCACAACAACAACAACAACGGCAAGAAAATAAAAACAAAAGATCTGAAGCTTTGGCGAACCGGAATGGGAATTAGACTGAGCGCTACATATATGTACAATAATATCTAATCATACTCATATGCTCATTTACTGGTGTATACGTAACTTGACACACATTGAATCTCTCGTGCAAGGCCGTCAAACATCCAGTTTTTATACCCTGAACCCATTGAAAATGGGAAATCAGGGTATAATGGTTTTGTTAAAAGTATGTAACAGGCAGTGGCAGTGGAGGCGTGGCAGACCCTACAAAGTATATATATTTTTAATCAGGGTAACGAGCTGAGTCGATTTGGCCCTGTCCGTCTGTCTGTCCGTCCGTCCGTCCGTCCGTATGTATGAACGCGTCGATCTCAGAAGATATAAGAGTTAGAGACTTCAAATTTTTTTCTAGGTCCGTCTATATCACGCGCATATCAAGTTTTTCTTTTTATATCGATAATTACTCCCGATATTTTATTATCGATCAAAAACCTTATAGAAAGCTAGTTATTTAATTATATCTCCTACACCTTTAGAGCTGGAGCTTGCAAATTTTAAATGTAGACTTATATGTATTTTATATAATTTCGATTTTTGTTGTAATTTACCCCCCACCCCCCAAACCGCGTTCTAATACGTGCGTGTGTTTGCATGTGTGTCGAAAAGAAGTGCAGACTGATTAGAATATCAGATTAGAGGGTTCAGGGTATCTCCTAGTCGAGCAGTTTCGACTAGAGTCTTCTTACTTGTTTTTTCAGTATTCAATTTGAAAATCTCGTTTTCACTATTCCAAGTATAAAATACTATCCGAGCTGCTATTGTATAGCATCTATATGCGCGCTTGATCGATTAGCTCGCGCATAAGCTCATTGCTAGCTAGATATTATTATATCATGCTAGATTACATTCCAGATATATATAGCTGAAAAATTTCCAAGTACGATTGGAGCTTGGTCGTTATACACATTCCTCAGTCACGCACTCCTCTCTAGGCGATAGTTCTATAATTGTCAGCCAAGCGTAACTGGAAAGCCAACGCTTATCACACTTTATGCATCATATCAGTTGACTCAAACTTGGTTTCCTATATTGATTTACCGTGACGACTATGTAATGCCCCAATGCATATCGTGTTCAATTGATGGACGCACTCAGCTCCACACGCCCCCATGGGGGATGTTCATGAGGGGCTATATAGCAGATGCTCAGAGCGGTGACATCTTAGTAATGTAAGTAGCATAAATTAAGTGAGGAACAACTGGGAAATACCCTGTAATGTGGCAAACTGAAGAGAAACAATTATAAAAGAATATATATAGTGTCACTACCAAACACCCCTAATACCCCATGAAAACGGTTTGGATATAGTTCTTAGTAAAAATAGTATGTAGTATAGAATACTCTCCGTACTGGGGTAACAACCTATAGTACATATTCTTCTGTAATAGAAGTACAGTATATAGAGTACAGGAGATACCACATATTGCATTCAAAAAAGTAGAAGATTTCACTGTGGAATACCATGTAACTAAAAACTAAAATAGACATTGCTATACGGCATACCACGTAAGATTAAGAATTAACTAAAATGTATTCCTTTGAAAATAAATAGAAAATGTGCGAGATAATATACCCTTTAATAAAATGTAGAAAAAATTGTTTTCGAAAAGCTTTGGTTAGGGTGAAACACCTACCGTGTGGAAAACCAATGAACAATTGATTCTCTCCAATAAAAATAAACAGAAAATATTTATATATAATATAACTGAAAAATACCTTACACTTCAGTTCAAAAGCCTAGGAGGTAATCATATATGAATGAAATCGATTGAGTGAAGAAGAAAACCAAGGCAATGTCTATACCAAAGGCATTCGCTGTAATTATCGCATATCGCTCCCCAATAGGTTGTATATTTCTAACTCAATTGAAGCTAATGAAAATAATAGCTAAATATATCAGTTTGTCTGGGTATATCTTTATCTCTAATTGCACATGACACATGTCGCTAAACATCTATATTGCTATGTGTAATTCTACATTTATGTGGAATTAACTTTTGTCATGTTGATCTTAGATATCTATGTGTATAGCTGTCTTTCTTTTTGTTTATATCAGTGTAGTATTTGTAGTTTTAAAAGTTATGAGTATATTCGCTTTGTGCAATGTCCGAATTGCTATTCATCCGTCTGTCAGTCCGTCCGTCCGTTTCTCTATCGGTATGCACGCACATCATTTCTCCGCTAGAGACTAGAAATATGGAATAGATACTTGTTTCTAGCCTCGTGCTCTGAACTGCTAAGATTTGTTTGATACGCCCACTAGGGGCGTGGCAAATCGATGAATGCTATTTCCGGCATCTCAGAAACGCTATCATAATGAATGGGTATGGCGCAGTCGATAACGCTCGATTGCACTATTATTTATTTGTATATTGAAATTCGTATCTGGAATTCTGTTTGTATTTTTAGCGATAAAAATGCACAAGAATCTAGATAAAGGGCCCAGAAACATTTGTGACTTCAACCAAAACCAAACAGTGTGTGTGTGTGTGTCGGCGTGTGTCTCTATCATATAGACATGCATATATCTGCAGCTAATAATACGAGTCAAATCCAAAATATAGACCCTCGTTGTTTATAAATATTACTGCATGCATGTAATCATCGGACGCTGATTAACACACACACAAACACACATGAACAACACACACACACACTCATATTACACTCTCTACACTCACTGGTGGCACTCATATTCACACTCATTCAGCAGCGATCTGCCCAGCTTTACACTCAACACTCAAGTCTCTTGCTCTCGCTCTCTCACATTGCAGCTCTCTTTTCCTCTCACTCTCGCACACCAGTTCTATATAGATCAAAACTATGTAGGGGTAGGGGCACGAGGGCGGCGTGTAAACATGCATAGTAAAATGTTTATAGCACAAGCTCTCCATGCTGGCCACGAGTGTGCGAGTGTGAGTACGAGTGTGTATGTGTGTGTGAGTGAGTGTTTTTTCTTTTTTGAAAATAAATAATCACTCATACGACCTGCCGGCATGTCGCATTGCGTACTGTTTACTTCTGTGGGAATTCAGTTTGAATTCGTTAACAGGCGCTAACGGTTTGGGTGTCCGAAAAGAAATATAACTAAACACCCAAGAGATCCTTAAAAATGTCCATTCAAAGGTTAGTAA